CTGCACTGCAGGACAAGCGCTGCACAGGTGCAGCAGGTGTATCTCAATATAGTACAGAGAGTGGCATAGCGAGCAGGACAGCACGGCTCGAGCTGTCATTGATGTCGTGTCTCGCCAGATGGCTGCGACGTGCCTGATCAGTGCTGCGGGCTGCTGGCTGCAAGGTTGCGGGGAAACAGGCCGGGGGGGGGGGGGGGGGCCTGACCAAGGACAAATTGCTTGCATGTAAGCGAGGGAGGGGATTCGCGCAAAGGGCGTTCCAAGCGTAGCGTCCGTCGCCAAGTTGAATAGCCTGGCCTTGCGCAGAGAGTTGCCTTGGCTTGGGTCACGTTGGAGCGAGCGTGGAGGAGGAGGAGGCCAAGGTGACTGCGGTTGCAGTTGGATTGGCACACGTGCAGGCGTAGGTAGTCGTACGTAGTCGTAGTCGTAGTCGGGTAACTGTGCGCCGGGTGGCCCTCCGTTCCTTCACCTTCACCTTCACCTTAGCTTACCGGACGGTCAGTGGCTAAGACCAGTCGGTACGTGTGGTGTTGGCTCGGTCGATGGAGTTTCAGCACCTGCCGCAGGTGGCGTGTGCGCATTTAAGGTACGTGGTGTATTCGCAGACTACAGCACGGCCTCTGGACGTGGCAACGTATGGTCCGTAAATACACCAGTGACGACGATGGGTTCTCAAGGTCGAGGTCTATGGCTGATGTTGAGGGTTGAGTCTTTGGGTTTTTTTTTTTTGGGAAACCGTTGGAGATCGTAGGTGAGGTCACAGACGTTAACGTGGATTTCGGGGGGCCGAGAGCGAGAGGTTCCGTTGTGGATCGGGGTACGTACCTCGCTTGGAACGGTACGGTAGGTACGGTACCTACCCATCTTTCCTCCTCGTTCCACCCATTGTCTCTTTGTGCCCCCAGCGTGCTTTGCTTGCCTTAGCTACCCTTGCGCTTCACCTGACTGATCAAAATGTTTTAGAGGTAGGTATGGTTGGCATTTGCACCACCATGCAGCAAGGGCGTCCCTGCCGCGTTCTCTTCGTTGTTCCTTTTGCAAGACCTTCTGGCGCCTAAGGTAGCGTTTGCCGGCGCCAAGTGCCCCCATCTTTCTTTGTCGGAAAGGCTCATGACATTGGCTCTCTGTTGCAAACAAGTTGCAAAGAGATTCGCGGTTCCTCTGGCCAGTTCAGAGCCTTGGAACTCAACTCGGCTTGGTCCAGATGGCCATCTCTTTCCGCCGCCGTCCATTTCGCGAGGAAACCTAGAAATTGCGTCGTGTTCCTGCCCCCCCCTGCACTCCCAAACTCTGTGTCGCGAGAATCCTTGCTGCTGGGAACCCAAATTAGAAAATTCGTCCCTCCTCCCATCACCGGACCGAGCAACGCCCGCAGCAAACATGGGACCCAACTCCGGGATGATGTTGGTTGCCCGATGTTTGCATGTTGCACTCACTGCACTGCACTTTGCGTGGCCCATGTCCTGCAGAGTGGAATCTGCACGATATCTAGCTTTCATATTGCTGCTGGGGCCTGTCCCTTTTCCGTGCTGCACCTTTTGGTTCAATGGGATTCGGGATTGGGGATTGGGAGCTGGGGGTTGACTGGGACGGAGTGCCCCCCCGAATCCATTCTGATCCCAGTCGCTTACATAGCACTGTAGGTATAGACAGACAGCCAGACAGACAGCCAGACAGACGAGACAGACAGGGCACCTAATCCCACACCCAGCATGGTTTCTTTTCCTTCGTTCCTCCCAATAATAAGCAAAGCTGCCTGTCCATCCTTGAGGTTTGCTCGCCGTATTCACTTACAAAGCAGCTCAGCGGTGCTCAGCCTGCTTCTGGCTCCTGGCCTCTGCCCCTGGTGCGTGTATCTGGATGCCTTAGCTCCGTCTGGAGAAGGGGGGCTTCCGAGCCCCCCATTCGCCCATATGTTTCAACGCCATCATTCCGGTCGGTGCCTTGCTGCTGTTGTTCTTCGGGCTTTTTAGTCTAAACGTGCCTGGGCTCCTGCGTGGCCTCGAGAAATAGCCACAAGCCTGTAGTCAGAAATCAGCACAGAACCACATGGCACCAGCCAACGCATGCAACCCGTTGTTCTGTGCCCCGGCCTGGGCAGCACCACATAGGTCTGCCGAGTCACCTCTTCATCCTTTGGGCTGTCAAGACACACACAGGCCAATGCTCAGAGTCATTTAGATGATGCTGTCCATGTTGCCCGCCCTGTGACATGGTGTACACGCAGGAAGAAACCCCCGAGAAGAAACCTCTGGTGTCTTGGCCGTCCCCCGTTTGTGTCTCCACGCCATGATCTAGCCGACGGTGATGAGCCACGCTGTGTCTGTCCATGGCTCGTTGCTAATTTGATGAAGATCCTCAGTTGCTGCCGGACGAGCTTACGGATACAACCGGCAGCCCCGTTTCAACTCTGAGCTTTGCTTCTCTCTTCCGGCCTCGTTCTCGTCATCGGCTCTCAGAAGGCAATTATGCGACCTATGCGGCTGGACGAAGAAACAACACACAAAACTGCCCACTGGCCTTCTGATAGTCGACACAGGCCCCGGACCCTGCCCGGCGTGCACATCACGTAAGATATGGCGTCCGCCGCAGCTTGGGATTAGCTGAGAGAAGGTTCAGGTCTTCTTTCCAACGTTCCTATTCCCAGTCTTTTCCCGATCCCGCCTTGATCACCCTCTTCCCGTGACTTGCCTATCGTCCGCCAACGCCAACGCCGCCTTTCCCAGTCTAGCCCAGCCAAATCAAGCCAAGTCGAAAATTAGAAACACCATAACCTCCTCCAATGACTGTCCATATGTGCTCAGGTACCGCAAGACGCCTTCCACACACTTTTCACTCCTTCACTCGCTCACTCCAGCACACACCCTCTTGCTACCCTCTTCCAACCCCTGTTCCTGTTCCTGAGTGCGTTCCCTCCTCCCATTCACCACCACCACTGCCGCTCTTCTTGTTTTCACCCCCCACCCCCCTGGTTCGTAGACCCCGACACACATCTCAACCTCCGAAGTCCCACTCTGATCCGCCTCTCCACTGTCTTGGACTGGTTGCGTGCAGTGCGGTTCGTTCGCTTCTTTCCACTCGTCACGGACCACTCTTCTTGACCACAGACACCAACACTCCAGGCACAGGAACCCGCAACGGTACTCCACCATCTTCTCCCTCCTCCGAACTTACTCGCTCTCAGCTAATTGTCGCCTCTGCTTCGCTCACACACGCGCACACCACACCAAAGTACCCGACTTCCTGCATCATGGATCTTGGCCACACCCCGGGAATGGCCCATACCTATGTATCCCCTCACCCCTGCGGGATTATTCACATGCCGTCGCTCCCAAGCGGGTGCACGGTTGTACAGCTTATCCCTACCCTTGTCTCTCACTCTGATCCTCTCCGTCTCCAGCGAGATGTGTGTCCGTACATCGTGTATGCACCGCTGCAAAGGTGGTCCAAGGTACCACCGCCCGCCAACCTTTACATCGTTCCCATGTCAGTGCTGCCGCAAGTGCCGCATCCGAGAAACCAGGCACAGTCTACCGCGTTTCCCACACCTCGCAGCTGCAGGTTTATACATAACCCAGCGCAGCTGTCCGCATTCCTGTCTGATCCTGATCCCCGAGAGCCTCTCTTTCGACTCCAACCCTTTCCCTTCTCCTTCATGAAGGTCCCTAATATCAACCGGCTCCCAACGTCAACCTTGGAGTCGTGGAATCTGACCTGACCTGACCCCCAGGCTCAACACCACAACCGTTTGTCTCCCATTTCTTCTATCCCTTTATCTCCATTTTGCATGTTTGTCTACCAATCAGGTTCTATTTCAAAAGAGCCCAAGGTTTGAGAGTTGCAAACCACCAATAGTTCCAAGACTTGCTTGAGTATTGGCCCGCAACCTGAGCACCGCATACTGTTCGTCACAACATCATCTTGGGCTGGCCCATACGATAACACACGAGGAGCAACACCGCACAATGTCGACAACAAGGATGCTGTTGGCCATGGCCTGGCTGTCAGGACCGTCGTTTCCCACTCGAGCTTCTGTCTTGCGACAGACCGAGAGCAGCAACATTGTACCAAGGGATGGCCAGCGGCAAGGCAAGGGCAAAGGCAAGAGTCAAGGAAAAGGCAAGGCTGGTCCTGATCGAGTCCCTGCTACAAGGTGTGGAATCGATGCTCAACCTGGCGTTGACATCAATCCTGCGCCTGTTCTCGTCCCTGGAGGAGTGAATGGCGGCAGCAACGCCGTCAAGGATCCCAGCAATCCCAAAAACGGAGGGCGAGAAGGTGTGGCCTGGCACAGCCCTCAATACGAAGCACCTACCTGTCATCTCAATACATCAGCCTCTTCATTACGATCACGATCTGCTCCGCGCCCAGCCCTCAACTTGATTGCCTGGCTCAACGCCTCCGACCATTTATTTCATTTTCATCTTGCTCTTATATATGATTGGTGCACTTGAACAAGAAGCTAACGCAACCTCACAGGAGTCCAAAGGGAGGAAGAGCCACCTGCACCACCAGAGAGTCCAGTCCTGGCTCCAGAGAAACCAGACCAGGAGCCTGCTCCCCCTCCACCACCCTCTGGCGAAAACCCAACGCCGGCTCCTCCAGAATCACCTCCACCTCCGTTCCGGCAGACCACGCCACCGGCACCGCCTGCGGTTACTTCAGTCGAAGTCCGACTGTCGACAACAACTTCGCTCTCTATCTCCGCTTCATCATCGTCTTCTTCTCTGACCACAACTCGATCGCTTCCTCCCATTTTTTCGCAGCCGAGCGTCCCTACATTCAATACAAATCAGCCATTTCCTAAACCGAGCCTACCACCTAGTCTACCTCAGTCTAGCTCAGTAGCTCCCGTCATCATTGTTGCTCCGCCCCCAACGTCGAAGCCGCAGACCCAGGTGCCACCCGCTGCTCAGCCGACTGATGCCGGCAGCAGTCCCCCATCAGTCTCGGCGCCAGCTGCACCAAGCTCAACTTCTTTGACGGACCAGCACGGCGCCATGGGCAACAACAATTCTCAGGGCATCAACGGCAACCGAAGCCTCGTCGTCGCTCTGAGCACTGTACTCTCTGTGCTTGGTGTCGTCATCATTGTCGGGGCGATTTGCCTTTGTTATCGGTACCGCCGCGGCCGCCTTCCGTTCGGCCGCCGGGGTAACACTCCCATCGACGATGAGGAAATCGAGTCTTGGAAGGCGTGCCGGACAATTGAAAAGTGCACAACCGTCGTTGTTGACGAGCATGACCCGCATGGCTCGGTTGGACCCATCCAAAAGCCGTCCAGCGTGATCGTCTATCAGACCAACAGCCCGTACCAGCCTCGCATATCGACTGACACAGCTTCGCGCTCTCTCTACCACAAGCGGAGCATGGACAAGAGCATCGACATTCCTCAGACTCCTGTCCTTGCAAGAGCCCCCAACGCCCGTGTTGGTCTTACCGATGACACTGTTGAAGGCGACGTTGCCTTCCTTCCTTCCCCAAAGCGCCAGACCCTGCGGTTGTCCAAGCTACCGCCATTGTCCCCCCGCCACGGCAGGCATCGCAGCTCCCGCAGCAGCGCCAGCGCCGGCAGTCTACGGAATCACTGGTACGGCTACCACACCGACCTGGAACTGTCGCCACGCACATCTACCGATCCTTATGCTCGTATGCCTTCTTCCGCACACTCGGATGGCAGGCACCAACATATCTACTCTTCGTCGACCGCCCCTAGGTTGTCACTGGACGAGGAATTCCATTTGGGCGGTCTATCTCCACGCCCATTCCTACGGCAATCAGAAATTGGACTCGCCGTGGGTTGAAACAAATCAAAACATGCAGTTCTACGCTGGCCAAGGAGGGATCCTCTGACGCCGCGTCCTTCGTTACAACCAACCTTTTAGGGTTCTTGCAGCAATATATTGCAAACTCTGCGGATGACGGAATATGCCATGCGCTAAACAACCACACCCGTTTCAGCCCTTGCGCTCTTCCCGCAGGCCTGGAGACAAAGTGCGGGGTGCTATCTCGTGGGTGTCTGTTTCACATTTTGATGGATGGTAGCTCAACGCAACCCCATGTGGCTTAACAACACCCAGGGGGGGGGGGCGTGCCAAGCACATCATCTCGGAATGGGAACTGATGGCTGGCCAACCTCACCGCCGTTCTTGTTGAGTAGCTTCTTGGTATCTCTTGGAGGTGCAGAAGACTTGTGGCGTACGCATTTAATTGCAACTCCCCTCTCCACATGTTCTTGCTTGCTGAACAAGCACACCACGCTTCATCGCGTCTACCTAGGCATGAAGCCTTGATGTCTGAAATGACATCTTATTTTCCCTTACGGTCTTTGGAATATGGAACTTGGAACACCACATTGTTTTGAATGGTCATGGATATACCCACACGACGAGAATGGTCTCTTACAGCTGCCATGCAGCCATTCTTCTTTCACATCATCTTATTGAATACTTTCACTAGGCATTCCGAGTAAGACCTGGAATATAGCTGAATAAACTCAATTACTCGCAATCAGATACACTCGTATATATGCTGTTGCTGTCGTGACGTCGGTGATGATGAGGAGGAGGGCAATTTGAATCATGAGCCAAGAGATGTTCGGCTTCATCGGTTCTAGCAGCAGCCACAAAAGCATATCATAACGGGAGCTCATGCGCTCTCTGCCTTCACCGTACCCCTCAAACTTACCCAAAAGTGTACATCTGACTATCGTGACGTCGACATTATTAGTGGCAATCCATGGCAAAAGCATTACCAGCATCCGCCAGAAGGAGACGTTCATTCGCATTGCGTGCGAGCAACGCGCGGATTGCGTTCCACCAGACCGCGGCCCTTTCGTCTCATGTCGAAGGCGACTCGATGGTCAATCATGGCGCTGACAGCTTGCCCCATCCAATATCGCTGGTGAAACGTGACGGAGAACCTCGGGGCGTGTGCCCACCCACCCGGGAAGAGGCAAAAACAAGATAAAAATCGCAGACATCAACTGGAGAATGCGGTTTAGTTCCTTGTTGATCGGGGTGGCAGTGACAGGAAGGGAACCCAAGAGCTGACCCCCAAGGTTTTCGATGATACAGGTGTGCTTAGTGTTGCACTAACCCAAGAAAGGAGAAAGAGAGCCAGATTACGACACCTGCCATCCCAGGACGGCAGATGCGGTGACGGGCGGGAAAGCTAAAACGCCGATGGGCTCCCGTTCGGTCGGTGGGTGGGTGTCATCGGGGGGGGGCGCGAACGGAGAGGCGGGGTAAAGATTTTTAAGTTTTTGTGTTTTTGCCTCGGACAAGGAGCAACGATCATCGACACCACCCTTGTCGTCGTTGTTTACGTACGATGTACTGCGTACTACGCAGTAGGTACGTTGGGAAAGCTGAGATGCCTGTCCTGGCGAGAGGACTAGATGTATTGAGGTGTGCCAAAAGGGGGGAGGGGTAGTTGGTTCGGCCTTGTCTGGCATCCTTGTCTGATACCAAGACGGCGTTTATCTTGGCAAACGGCCCAATAGAGCCGCAAAGGGTATTCCAGGGTGGAGGGAAAGCCGAAGGCGTGACTTTGGAAAGTTAACCGGAGTGCGTGTTGATCTAAGCTTGATGGTGAGTGGGGTACCGGGGGAGGGGGACTTACGAATCAGGCCATCGTTTGGTTCGTCTATTTGGGGAAACATCAGATACCCGATTAGGCTTCATTTGTGTCTCCGACATGCCGGTGAACGGGAGATCAAGAGAGGATTGGAGGAGGATGGGATGGATGAAGGCGAATAGGATTCCAACCAACGGATCTGGGAAAAGCTCACTGAGTCATGCCGCATGGAAACGGAGGACGAATCAGAAGAGAGGCAACGAAAGTTTGGTCAAAAGGGAGGGGGTTGAAGCATCGGGGACGAGAGTGAGCGGGCTGGCGGGTTCCCACGAGTGTTTGCGGGTAGGTCGTATCGAGAGTTCAAGGTCGGACTAGACAAGCGAACGTTCCATGCTGCTGGGTCGTGGTGGTTGAGAGACTTGCAAAAGGTCATGGCACCTGGGGTCTGCGCACTTAGGGCCAAGGCGTTTCTTGAACATGGGTAAGACGGGCCGTCTGAGGACTAGCACGACGGAGAGCGAGACGGTGAGGTGTGCTGCCGTAGTTTGGCGGGTAAGTAAGATAAACGAGACCTTGAAATGCGTCAGCAAAGAACCAAAGCATATGGGAGGGATTACTCGGACACTGGGAGCGGACTCTGTCGGTTGATTTCGAACCCTTCTGAGGTCGTGGAGACTGTGAGATGGACTGGGTATACAGGTAAGAGTACTAATAGGAGAGTGGGGGTAAGAGTGAAAGCAACGCGTGCAATGGCAGCGAGTGAGATGAGACATGAGAGATGCAACGAGGGGTCAAGAGCACGTTCACACTATTATGGTCACGGCAAATGACCAGAAACAGCTTAAGCGAGTCCACATGAATATTAATCACAGAAGAAAGTTGTCAACACCATAGAGTAGCGGAAAAGAAATGTTCGCGTGTCGTAGCGGACTTGTGAGTGAGTGAAAAGTCTTGAGTGTCATGTAGGTATGAAGTGAGAAATTCACTTAACGCGTCCGAGGTCCATAAGTGGGTCACAAAACGCGTCCACCGAAAGACGGGAGACGTGGACGCGCTGGACGACGGCAAACTCCCCGTGCCCGGCACCTGACTCTGCGCCCAACCTCTGCTTTGAAGGATCAAGCATCGCCTTGTTTGCGGTAAATAGTCACGATTCTCATAAAAAATCTAACCAGGAGACGCCCAATTGAGCCCATGACGGCGATTCCGTGAACCCAGATAACCCAACCAACCTTCGACGCCAAGGAGTACCGTACAGCGAGGAAACCCCCCCCCTCTCTCCCCCTTTCGCTCATCCCCCCGGGGTGTGAAAAACTTCAACGTCTCGTAAAATCGCCGACGAAGAACAACTGGACAACCCCGAGCGAAAACTCGCTGGCATCCACCCAGCCCACGCGAAAACGCATCCAGTCCCGCAAGACCCGCGCAACGCAGAAAGGACTTCCAGGGGTTTGACCTTCGCTTTCTCCACATTAATTGCTGGGCTACTTTGGTACTTGGCGACTCGGGCCTCTCAAACCTCCGACGACACATCATAATGCCTCCGCGCAAAAGCGACGCGAGCCGCAGAAGCGACGTATCCAACGCACGCTTCATCGTCATGGACGAAGACCCGGCCCCCGCCGCTACGCCGGCCAGCACCAGCAGCAACGTTGCGGCGGGCACTCCGTCGGCGGCTGCAAAGGCCAAGGCATCGGCATCGGCCTCGGCCTCGGCGACGCCGTCCAGCGTCCCTCCTGCGGCTGCGCCGACGCCCGACTCCGCCGCGGCCGCGAGGCCGACGTCGTCGACGCCGCTGACCACGACGACGGTGTTGCATGCGGGCTCGGAGAAGAAGGAAAGCCAGACGCATGACAAGATGGCCAAGGCCGATAGGGATGCTCTCACCATTGAGGTTCGTGATGACTGTTGCCGTGCTCTCTCTGCCCGATGCTCGGGCGATGCCATGAGGTGGTGGGCGGTCCGTGGCTGATTTGGGTTACAGGACCTCAACTTGCCCAAGTCTATCATAACGAGGCTTGCAAAGGGCGTGCTCCCGCCGAACACGCAGATCCAGGCCAATGCTGTCCTGGCCATGAGCAAGAGCGCGACTGTCTTCATCAACTATCTCGCTTCGCAGTACGTACCGTCCTTCTCACCAACTCCGAAGGGTATCTCTTGAGATACCTTGGTGAGAGACATCCCCCAGTCCTTGCATCTGATAATCCAGAGACTGGTGAAACTGACGGCCCCCCTCACTTGCAGTGCCAATGAAATCACTGTCAACGCCAACAAGAAAACAGTCAGCGCCGAAGATGTCTTCAAGGCCCTTGACGACATTGAGTTCGGGTTCCTGCGTGAGCCCCTGGAGCAAGAGTTTGCCAGTGCGTCCACCCGTTCTTCTTTGTCTTTGTACGCCCGGTCTTGCATTCATGCGCAGTCACTGTACCCCCGTCTCTCCCACTTGACCCGTCTCACCATCCCACTGAGATCCTTCGCGTAAGGCACCATGGCTCATCCGATGTGCAGAATACAATCAAATCCAATCCGCAAAGCGTAACAATTACCGCCAAAAGGTCGCGGCCAAAAAGGGAGGAAGCGCAGCAGCGGGTGTCGCAGCTAGAGCGGCGGCCGGGGCAGCGGCAGCAGATGCATCCCTCCTCTCAAATGCCGATGACAGCGTCATGACCACAGCGTCCTCCGACACAGCTCCACGAGCAAAGAAGGCCCGTGTGGACGACTCCGCCGTGACCGTCGACGAGGAGGTTGACGATGCCGAGACGGAGCCCGAAGAAGAAGCCGAGGAGAACCAGGACGAGGATGAAGATGAGGCCGACGAAGAAGAAGAGGACGAGGAGGAGGAGGAGGAGGAGGAAGAGGAAGGGAAGGGCAGCGGCGACGAGACACAGGACGCATTGGAGGAGAAGGGCGAGGGCAGCGATGTCGACGAGGCACTTGACGGAGACGAGAGCGACTAGTCGGTGACCTTGATGGTTTGCGCTTCTTCAGCGCCGGACGGGATCCAAGACTGGGGGATGCCGCCGGGCGAACCCTCTCTAGCAATGAGGAAAGGGGGTCTTCGGATTCCCTCTCCGAAGATACGAGGCTCAGGAGATGAAGTGCGGGTTTTAGGCTCCGACAAAAGGGGGGGCGGTGATGGCAACAGGCTTCCGTTTGGGTTATGATAGGAAAGCAAAAGCCCGTTTTCGTTTTCTTGCTTCGAGGGTAATACACAGTTCTTGTCTGACAAAGGCATATTCCAGGGGACGATCACTGCCACAATCATCGTTCGGGGACTTACTGCTCTATTCCACCGCTCATCAATGCGGAGGCGGAGGAGAGGCGACCAGGCATCGCTCGAGCCGCTCCCCAAAACATTCCATCGCAGAGCATCCCAAAGGATGCAGACAAGCGAGCAAACGCGCTACCTTCATAGGAAGCTTCTCCCAAAACGGACACTAGCTCGTGTGCTCGCCCAACAGAGCAACAGATCTAGTCGGCAGGACGGCGCACACGCTCCAAGAACTACGCGAACATACCAGACGGACGGGTACCACGACCACGCTCCTACCTTCAATCATGTAGGAGGCGTAGAAAAGGAGGAGGGGAGGGGCAGGGGAAGGTGGTTAGGGTGACTGATGGGAGACTTGATAGGAGCCGACACCAGACCAGCCGTTCATGGGGCGAAGGGGAATAAAAGGGGGAATCGTGCTCTCTCTTGGCTGGTTCGGTCGGCCATGTCATTGTCTTTCTCCCTCCCTCCTCCGGTGGAGAAGTTCCGAGTGCTCTCTGCGTCCTGCTCACGCCGTGTGCTGGGCGAACCTTTTTCCTTCTTCTTCACTTTCTGGCGTCCTGGTCCTCGTGCCGCCTGATTCGAGAGTGAGTTGTGCGTTACGCAACTAAAACAAAGAAGAATTGCTGGGATGAGAACCCCCGAATTTAACCATAATTCCTGGCGAGTGTGAATCGACCGACCGGCCTATCAACAGCCGCGGCTGCTCCCTGTCCCTCGATCGTGTTCCTATGTGGCGATATCAGACGACAAGAAATGACCACAACGCAGGAACGGAGGGCCTGAGCCCCGTCCAGCACGATGATGCCCAGATTGCCGAGTCGCCCAATCCATCCAGACACGGACGCACACTAGGGTGTGGTTGGAAAGGCTATATCGTCTCCGGTTTATCCCGCCCAAAAGGAAAAGGGAATCCTACCAATGTTTGTCCTTCCCTCTCGTATCTCTTGCAGCAGTAGACCCGGTAAACACTGTGAACTTCCCCAAAGGGTTCACCGCCGCGAACTGCTCCAGGAGTTGCTCCAGGACAACGTTGTTGAAGCCAGAAAGCAACTCCACCCACCCACACACACACACACACACACACACACACACACACACCTACACTTGCGTCCAAAATTCGTCTCCTCGTGCACTCACTCCCCTCGACGGACCGACCAAACGAGCGGAACAGCCTCTCTTGAAACTACACGTGCTCTACCTCCCCCTTCCACGTCCTATCAGTACGCGATATGCCATTCAAGAGCATGGCGCCGCTCCTAGCCAGCTCCTGCTTGGGGACCGGCAGGTTCATGTAGGTCGTTTGTTTAAAAGAGGCTAGGCCGGATACGAGGGATTGGCCCCCATCCTCAACACCACGGCGTAGATAGAAGAGCCTAGTCAGAATAGCAAGTCGATATCGGGTCTAAAGGCTTCCCCCGTGTTTTTAGATTTGTGCGTGCGTGTGTGCGTGTGTGTGTGTGTGTGTGTGCGTGTGTGCGGATGTCTCTACGCCATATCGGCATCAAAGTTGACCAAGAGGCCTCGAGTGTCTCAGGCGGCTCGACCTCGGGTTTCGCCAACGTCCTCCGCATATATCGCTGTCCAGAGAGGGAACCTATGTAGGAATGAGGTATGGCGCGTTATTTCCCCGCGCGCCCAAGACCGATCTGCCTAGATGCGCGGGAGTCCAGAATGCGAGGCTGATCCTCCAATTGTTTCCCTGGCGTCTTCCAACTTACATGAACCATTAGAGATCTAGACACAGACCCCCCCCCTCTTCCATCATGACAGGCGATGAACTCTACTTCTTGTGGACGATGAGCCAAAGGCGGCTCCAGGGCACATCGGCAGTTGTTGACGGCAATCCCACAGTCGTCCTTCGACGGGTCCCGGCAGAGCGGTTCGCACCTGTCCCCCTCCCCGTCAGAAAAGAGCCGCATCTCACCCGCCCTGTATCGCCGGGCCATAGCCTCGTCCACCACACGACGTACACACAGACGCACCGCATAACCAGCTAGGGGTTGCACGGCGCCCACGGCACAATCCGGAACCATCCAAGCGAGGGGAGGAAAAATCAGTCCACCGGACACAATCCCGAGAGGGTCGCTACCGTTCGTCACCGCCTCGTCCGCACTCGGTAGAGGTTCGGGGGGGAAGACCTCCGTCCGCAGAGGGCCAATGAGAGTCTTGCCGAGTAGCCTCGCCCAATATGTTTTTTGTAACGGCGGCCCGAACCCCACCGAAGCCAACCCCCGACGACCTGTCGCCGTGATACCATACCGCGCAAGATTCACCATGATCAAATCATTGCGCATCCCTCGGGAGCCCTTCGCGTCCTTCGGCTCCCCGTCGCCCTATCTCCCCGACTCCTAAACTCCTCGGCCGAGACGTCACAGCACGTGAGACCAAACCCCCAAAGCAAGAACCATACACGCTGGAAGAGACCAACGTTTGCCCAGACTTACACATTCCAACCCTGCCACTTACGAGACAAGAAAGACTAGAGACGAGGATAGGGGAATGGGTATAAAGCGGCAACAGCCCGGTTGTCGCTGGGAGGGGAGGAGGGGGGGTGTGGTCCAAACAGTTGAAGAATAAACATTGATGGAGCCACCACACAGACCCCCTTTTTTGTTCTTCCTTTTGTGTCACAACATGCGGTTTTCGTCCCGATAACGAGGAGCCTGAGCGTCTTTGTTTTTCCTTCCTCGCTCACCTCCCCTGGAAGAAACTTTAAGAAAACGACCAGATGGCACATGCATCTTCCGGGGCAGGCTGTTACCGCCCACCCTCGTCCATGCTTTAAATAGTTGTCCCAACTAAGACACAGGGCACTTCACGGGAGAGGCGTCGGGTTAAGATTCCAAAAGAAACACATCTGCATTGAACTGAAAACTAAACCTCCAACGGGGGCCCATGTCTCCAAAGTAGCCCTCCCCCTTGTCCGCGAAAACATCGGTCGTCGTAAAGCAAGCATACAAAGAATGATGCGGGGGAAAAGAAAGAAAGAAAAAAACCAAATGAATCAGAGAATCAGCCGAGCGACACGAGTTAAGTGTTCGACCGACGTGGCCCTCCGTACGGCCTAAAGAAACCCTCCGTGCCCTTTACCATGAAGAAATGTAACAGATCCCACCCTGATGCCGGACCATGGCGCTTCCCGGGTCCCTGGTAAACAAAACGTGACAGCAAACATCATGTTCCACCCAAGCAAAACACAACTCCTTCGATGCTGCCGTCTCGGCCGACACAAAGATAAAACAAGGCCGAAATCCTTTAACCGTCAATGTGCAGGGACAAAGGGGTCCTCATCCATGTCGACCTCAGAATCCCAATGCGGTCTTGCTGTTTTCGAAGAGGATGCACCCTGAATTGTTGATGAACCTTCAAACCATATTGTAACTTGCCGCCCTTACGGTCCTCGCTGTCCGTCCTTGTCCCCATGTCGGAGAAGCGCCCGGCCGTACGGCACGGACCAGATCGATACCACGACACAAATGCCATTGTCGCGAGCGTTCGGCATAGTCTTCAGCCTGAAAGCTTTAGCAGTACTTCATGGACGCTGAGGCGTGTCGACTCTGCACAAGTTTGCGGACACCCCTTCTGCAATCGTGGGACAAATCTGAATGAGGGTCGTCACCATGTCGAAATCGCCAACTGTGTTGCTGCAGAACGCGAGGTCAAGTGCGCGGCGGAAAGGAAGCGTGAACGGAGTGTTCGTGTGGTATCGTATTCGAGAGGATGAGAGGGACTAATTAACACAGCGTGCGTGAAGCGAGCCGGCGACAAGAGGACGACGTTGGTATCAAATTCATGTCGAAGTTGCCCGTGCCAACGGCGAGAGAGAGAGAGAGAGAGAGAGAGAGATAGAAGGGGGGGGGGGAGAGAGAGAAATAAAGATAAAAAGACAAATAACAAGCATCGTCCAGAGGCGGCGAAGAGGACGAAAAGACTGAACCGAGAAAAGGGCAACCAGAGCAATGCATCCTCCCTAGATACCAAATAACCTGAAGGAAACGAACAAAAAAGAAAACGCAGTACAGTAAAGAAGCCAAATCCCTCCTTGGTCTGAGGCAATGTGTTCCTGGATTTCCCCCCATCGACTCCTCTATCCATACTTCTCGGCCAAAATGCTCTACGGAGACTGACAGGCCAGCGGCCCAAAAGCACATAGCCTCCACCTAACTGCATGCTTGGGTATTCTTCAGAAGGGCAGCAACAAGTCTGCCGAACCGGCGAAAGCCAGGGAGTCACCGCCGCGTATATAATGAATAGGAAATTGTGTTGACATGACGCTGTTGAAGAACTGAAGCTGCAAGGAAAACGAGCCCATCGTGTTTCGATCTCTGGCTGTCTTCATTGAGGTTGGTTCGTCCACCACTGCGCAGGCGTCTGTTGGTTCGACCAGGCCTGTGTCACGGCCGGAGATCCTTGGTTCGGCTGAGGCATATACTGGCGAGGAGTCTGGTCCGTGGGGTAAATCCCCTGGCCAGCTCCATAGCTCTGTCCCATGCCAGGCATCCCCGAAAACTGCATCCCCGGCTGCACACCGCTGTTCGCGTGTCGTAGTTGAGGAGCTGGAGGCTGCTGGTGCGACTGCTGGCCTTGCGTCGTGTACCCGGAGTAGTTGTGCTGTTGAGGGTTTTGCTGCGTTTGAGGCCACATCTGGCCGGTTCCAGGGTAGTGGTAGCCTTGAGCGCCTTGAGGCATGCTACTCGTACTCCCTGCTGCAGGCAAAGTCGTTGGCTTGCTGTTCTTTTGGGAAGATGGTTGGGCCATACCTCTCATCGGAGCCTGACTGATCGGGTTCTGCGCGTGAATCGATTGGGAGTACGGCGGTGCTGTCATCATCATCTGCTGGGGGCTTTGGTTGGACACGATACCCGACTGCGGCATATTGCTGGCCGACGTGTGTGGTGACTGAGTCGCACGCGTAGTGGGAGCAGCCGCATCGCTTGTGGCGACGTTCTGAGTAAGGTTGGCAGACTGCGGCTGTTCATGCGGCCGTCTCCAGATGCCCTGGAGGTAGTCGCCGCGCATCTCTCGTTGCTGGTTCAGTGTCCGGTTGTATTCGGCGGCATGGTGCGCCTGAGTGTGGACCTCCCCAAGCTGAGCAGGTCGCGTCTGGTCCTGGTAAGCCGGCCCGGTGATCTCCTGGCGTGGGCCGCCCTTGAGAATCCCACTGTAGTCGCGAGGGCGGTTGTCACTGAGCTCTGATCCTAGTGTTATCACGGGCATTCTGGTCGTGGTTCCGGTTGGCGCTCCAAGCATACCTGGTTGGACGATCTGGGGTTGAGGGGCGCCGGGGAATTGACTGGGCGTGTTGCTGTAAACGATTTCACCGTGAGGGCCTCCAAGCAGGACCTGGTTCTGGGCCTCGGCTGCGGCCTCCCTAGCCTTGGCCGCTCCGGGACGCTTCTCACCGGCGGGGTCGGCCTCTGTGAATCCTTGCTTGCGGGCCTTGGTTTCCCAGTAGTCGTCACGCACTCTTCTACCGTTGACAATGACGCGACTTCCAAATTGGCGGAACATGGATCGTGCTGTGACAATGGCAATCTGTCTGGACCGATATGAGAAGGGCAGGATTTCCTGGCTGACGAGGTCATCCTTCTCGGGCTGGCTGGCAATGATCTTGTAGAGCGACCTGTTCTTGTTGAAGAGCAAATACGAATCTCGGTATCCCAGCACCCTCGCGCACTCAGTCGCCAGCATAAACAGCTTGTCGCCCCGGTTGGGAACCAAGAACGTCCGGCATCGGTATTCGCGGCCACCCAGAAGCTGGCCGTTGGGCATCACCTTCTTCTCTCCAAACTCGTCGATTTCTCTGGGGAGGTATTCGTCACCGGCGGGGTTCAACTGGTCTGTAGTGTGGTCTCTGACGGTGGGCAGGGCCTTCAACGTGGTCTTTGTAGGGGTGGTCTTTGGCGGAGGTGAGGCCTGCGCGGGCGCGTAGGCGACGGCTTGCCCCCCGGGAGCGGCGCGCTCTGGTTCTGGGGGGTTTGCGGAGGCGGGATGGTTTGAGGCATGTTGGATACTTGGGCTTGGCCGGCAGTCTCGGAGATGCTCCCGGGTGTCCTAGACTTCATTGGCTTTCCACGTTTTCTCGGGTTGGAGTTACCTGCAGAGGAGACACCAATGTTAGCTTGTATCGCGTTGCGCACTGCGGGAAGGAAGCAAGAGGTAACACGCGCGGATGATGAACAGCACAAAGCATAACGAGGCTGAACGCGGGACAAGGGGGAAAGGAAGAAAAAAAAAACAGAGAAAAAAACATACCAGCGTCAGCTGCAGGAACGGTTCCCTGGAGGTTGTCTGGTGAGCGGCTTCTTTTGATGCCGCGAGTGCTTGCGTTGAGCAGGTCTAGGTGATGGGCAGAGTTGTCAGCATAATGTATAGGGCAAAGATGTTCACGTTGGGAAAGGTCATAGCCATGGCTTAAACGGGAGAGGGACGCAAGTGGTCGTGCGTGGAGAAGATTTAGTTGGCAGCACGGCCCAGGGCCTCGCAGTGGAATGCGATGACGGCTAGCGGGCAGGCTGGGTAGAGCGGGCGGGGGTGTGAAACTGGGGAGGGGGCATTGAAGAGCAAATAAGCAACATACCAGGAGAGTTGAGGGCAGCTGGGTTGATTGTCGCACTGTCAGCTCCGTTCGGCTGCGTGGAGTACATTGAGCGCGCAAACGTCTCCAAGCAGGTTCGTCAAGATCAGGACCACGACGACGTGTCTTGATATAGTTGGATTGCCTTCCGACCGGGTCTCAGTCGTGGGCGACGCTGGGTTTTGGGAGGAGGGTGCACTGGGCGATGCAGGGCAGGCTTATGCGTGCATGTGGTTGGCGCAAAGCTCTGAAATGTTCCTGGCGGAAAGGTGTCGAGTAATAACGGGTAGGGGGAGGAGACTTGAGAAGAAATCGAATGGAAGCTTTTTCGTGCCTCTTGCTCGCTCTTTCCAGCGGAAAGGGGTATGGGGCGTATGGTTAAGGAAACTCTGAATTCTGGATGAAAATGCAAGAAGTTGAGTTGCAGCGTCGGTACAACCAAGCCGTAGAACTCAATAACGTGTCGGTAGGGTCTGTGTCCTGGGGCCTGCGGCGCGCGACAGGTAGGTTCTTTTGGCGAAAGGGCCTGTGTGCAGCAGCAGCTTTGTAAAATGTGAGGACGATCGCGTGGCGAGGATTTGGCGATTTCCACCCCTTCGCGTGGCAAAGAGCAGACTGCGTGGTATTTTTTTTTACAAACCGAAAAGGGAGAGCTGGTGAGATGCTCGTCTATTTCGCGGCAGCGAGATGGCGGACGAAGGACGGGAGAAGAATGGAGGCTGTCGCCGGTGAAGTTGCGCGCGCGCGATGGTGAAGGAGGGAAGATGGCGGATGGTTGGCTGGTGTTCGCAAAGATGTCGTGTGGTAAGGTGTTAGACAGATGATGGATGGACGGGGAGAAGTGGGCGACTGGGAACGGCAAGGCAAGGTAGGGTGGATGGATGGATGGTGGTGGCCCTCTGATGGTGCCGCTGGGCGTGTGAAGCCAAAGTACCTCTCAGCAGGCAGCCAGCGATGGCAGTGACCTAGTCGAGGCAGGGCAGTCAAGGCAAAGTTAAGGTACCTGCGGTCCTACGGATGGGTGTAGCGGCGTGGTCGGATGCCTGCGCTTGTCAAGTTGCAGCGGGATTCCCTTCTGCCTTCTGGGGGTGTGAAATCTGTATTCTCGGTGGAGGGCTTTTTGCGTGAGAGTGTGCGGAAAGCGAAAGGAGGGGCGTGGACAGTGGACTCGCCCCAGCGAATTGGGAACCTGGTACGAAGAAGCAATGGGTATGTCGAAACAGACGTAAAAAGACCGAGCCGTTCAAGTGCAATGACGATGGAGTCCGGCGACAACTATGTCGTCGGGGTCGGCGATGATTACGTCGATGGAAAAGGACAGACGACGAAAGCCGCTCAAGTGGTCGAGGTAAAAGGTGGACAAGGTGATCGCGGAGCGAGGCGAGGCGAAGCGACGCGGTGGGATGGGATGCGACGGAGTGGTGAAGTGACAAGGGCCTGCGGCAGGGTACAGAGGACGATGGGCGGCAGCCTCGTAGGTTTTGCCGTTGAGCTCTAGTGGCGTGCTCCTTCTGGAATCAGGGATCTCCCGGGCTAGGTATATCACCTTTCCTGTGGCCGCGTCCGGCGCGCGTGCTGTGCTTGTTCGGGTTCCGTGATGTTGGACGTCGGAGCGTGGTAGGAAGAGATGGTGAAGCCCACGACGAGATGAATGGGAGTTGGAAGATGCCAATGGAGACGTACCGTACAGCAGGAGGTCGGAAAGCGCGCAGCTGGGCAGGTCGCATCAGCAGGTGCGATGCAAGTTGGTGGTGTGGGAAAAGGGAAAGGGCTGGAGCTGGCCGATACTGATCAGAGGAGGAGCTACCGGGCTGGGATGGGTTGATGCATGCACAGGAGAAGCAGCAGCAGAAGCAGCAAGAGGTGCAGGTGCAGGTGCAGATGTCCCGGCGCAGCGCGACGCAGATTGGAAAGCTGGGAATGAAATGGATTTGGACCGGGGCCAGGTCTTGAGAGCCTGGGATTGAGGCCGGGACTGTGACGATGATGACGGTGACAGGGAACATGGACCAAACGAATCCAAACCGAAGGTGCGCAGAAGAGCCAAAGAAGAACGGCGACGGCGACGGCGGGCAGACGGCGTCCTTCGGGGTGTGGCGAACGCACTGCTCTCTTCAGACAGGGGGTGTGGTGGGCGCAAAGGAGGGTGTGGAATTAGCGGGAATGGAGTCAAACGACGACGCAGAGGATGGGCGGGAAGGAAGGAGGGGGGGGGGTTTGAAGAAGCCTTTATTTTTTCTCCTCCCTTTCCTTTTTTACCTTCCCTTTTATTTTTTTATCTTATTTTATTCTTACCCTTCACTTATCAATTCATTCCTCTCGCTCTCCAGTCACGGCCCGATGATTACAGGGAAGTGGAGAACGAAACGGACAGATTGAGGTACCAGGGTGCCCTAGGTCGCGGGTACGAGTCGCCAGTTAAGACACAGAGGGCAGACGGATAGAGATGCTCATTGACTTTTCGAAAGCCCGCAAGAGGCGTGCAAAAAGGCTCTGTTCCGTCTGTTTTTTTCTGGCCGTACGGGCTAGCGCCCCCGTCTGCGATGGAGAGAGGGCGAGAGACGGGAAACGGTTCATTCATCAGCATGACCGCTTTTCTAATCCCTGCTCGATAATACGCAGTAGTATGCAGCCTATTCAGAAAGATGAGGAGTTCGAAAAGGTGGGTCCGTCCATCTGGGCACGGGCACGGACGATGATGGCGCCAGGGAGATATTGACAGGGATGCCATGCACCGGGCGCCAGCGCCAGCAGCAGCAACGGCACCAGAGCAGAAGCATGATGGCAATGGCAGTGGCAGCAAAGCAGGCACGGCAGGCAGGCACGCAAGCAGATACAGGTAGGCAGGCGTGGTTCAGGAAGCGCAAGTGCTGTGTTTCTGTTCCTGTTGCAGCCACTCGCCGACCTCTCGCTGGTTTGGCGCAAGTGCCAAGACCAGCCGCGGCTATCCTGTCCGTCTGACGGCCGGCCCGTTGTTCGCTCGTGGTATCTAAGGCAAGATACAGGAGACAAGGGGCGAGAGGTTGGCTGCGGAACTTCATCAACAGCCCAGCCTGACTCCAGCTCAACTGGGGGGGTTGACGGGATCGGGGACGGGGGGACGGGGGGCGGGCAGGCAATAGACTGTTTTAGTCGTCTGTCCGAATTTTTTGATTTTTTTTTTTTGGAAAGTCGCAAAAGACCACCCGAGGGTGACAGACTCGGACGGGGTGTAAACGACGCTCGCTGTTGGGTTCCTGTGTAAGCCGGGCGACGACTTCCTCTTACACTAGCTACCAGCACCGATACCCCCTAACACGTACTCCGTATTCCGTATGTAGGTGCCTGTTTCCATGCCTTGTCGTATGTCTCCTTTGCCCGCTGCATATTCCCTCACTTGGCGCCTGCATTCTGTCTGACCGGTCGACCTGAGCAAGCAAGCAATCATGAATCCCTCCCTGCCTTTCTGTCAGGCAGTGAGCGAGCGACGGCGCTTTCCCACGTACCCGCCCTGCATGGTGGAGAATGCGCGACAGTGACCATGACCGCCGAAAGCCACGCACGAGCATGGGGACGGAATGGAACAGGCAAGGCAGGAGATACGTACCTGCCGCCTACACACACCTCCTTCCGTGCGGACCGTACCTGACCTGACTTGACCTGACAGACCTTAACGTTCCTTCCTCCTGCCTGTCTTCTTGCTTCATCGTGCAACGGATGGATGGTACAAGATTCGTCTCCGTCTGCTTTCGTGCTCCAGAAGAAAAGGAAGAGGAAGGTGGGGAGGAGGAGGAGGAGGAGGGGAGGGGGTTGCAGCAACCTGCGGCCCTAGTTCCCTGAGTTGCCATCCAAGCCGCATTGTGCCTCTTCTTCTCAAGAGCACTTCCCACCTACTGCTTGTTCGTCAACGAGGCTACCTCCCGCGCCCGCGCAATGCGCCCATCCACCCACGATCCGTCATTTGTTGAACCCCAGCTCTTCCTCGGCACAAAGTCGACTTTATCCAACACATATAGACACGCATCTCGTGGCCTTGGGTGAATGGAGAGTGCTCCATTTCGCAGCAATAATGTCTTCGCACTATCTTATTACCTCCCTACGGCTGAGACTGCTCGTCGGCTATTTGTCCAGCGCTCCAGCGTAAAGCGGCCTAGAATCCAGATCGCGCAAAGCTACTATTACTAACACTGACGCTAACGTCAAAACTATCTCCGGCGGAAAACAGGGACCAACGCTCAGCATCAGTCTTGGCTTAACTACGCCTTATCACTGGACAGCTTCTGGTGGCTACTTTCTCGTACAGCCCATACCTGTCGAGATCTTGTCGTCTACCCGGTACAAAGCTCTCAAGCAAATTGGCGGCTCCGAGTCCTTATTCCTCCTTGGCTTGTCAAATCGTCGGCTTACCGCGCGAAATGTCGAGTCGCCAGCTTCCCTCATATGGACTTCAGCGTGGCGAATCCGAAGTCTTCGCCTCTCGAGATTCACTCCGTGTACCTCAAAACATGCACTTCCATGCCATATCGAAGATCCTGGAGCAGTACTCGCTGCATGGAAAGCCAGAAGTGGATTTGTCCGACAGCCAAAGTCTTGGATGACGCCAACCGAGGCCCGCCCGGAGCAATCAATCTAAACACAGAATAACAGAGGCGCCATCTCACTCTCAACCACGCGTCGCCTTCCGGCCTCAGCGGGTCATATCGGCTCAGATATTCGGCGATATTTCATGGTCTGCGGCCCGTCTGGTCTTCTCACACATCCTGAAGGGGGCGTCGACAGGGGGGCATCACGGAGAACTGCCCCTGCCCCAGTCTCACGACGCTGCAACCGACTGCATGAGAAAAGCAAGTGGGCAGGATTGTTGCGGCAAGGTGGCTCTCCGGCTTGCGTAGATGAGGTGCGGGAGCGATCACTACTTATCAAGAGCCCCAGAAGGGTGCTGGGGGGCAGCCCAGCCCAGCCCAGACCTGCCCACCCTCTCACCACCACAACCGCCACGGCCATCACCCGAACCTCACATCCATGATCCTACTCCCACACTCTTCTCTGCACTCAGTGTGGAGTACAGAGACGCCATCCGCACGGCATGAC